AAGTAAGATTTCCCAGTTCCACTCAAAATTCAATGGTCATTATAGAGACAAGTTTTATTTATACCATTCAGATGAGTTCAAGAGTAAAATAATTAATCATAATACAGCTGTAAGAGAGTGCAAACTCAAAGAATGCCCATGGAGGCAGTACCAGGGATGGCAGCTACTACACAGTTATGTGATCTAGCTCACCCATTGCTACCCTCTCCTTGCCCCATATCATTCAGGATAATAATAAACCAGGCACTAAGTATGATGGTAAGCATTCTATAAATTAAGGGGTCATTCAACCCAAAACTAACGTAATGCACCACAGCAACTCACCATATTGCAGCGCATTAAAAATGTTGTGATATGTCCCATTTTCGTGACGTTGTGGTGCGCTGGCTATCGATTTTTTTTCAATAAACTGCTTTAACGCAACGCTCATGAATGCACAACAAAACACATGTTAATGCACGTGCGTTAATGTGCCACAAATATGTAAATTGACCCTTAAAGCGGCCATGTCAAGCAGGAGTTTTGCGTTCCATATTTGGACCTCTCATTCTTTTGCACCCCTCAGGCTGTGTAAGGATATATATACCTACCGACGAGTCTGCCCTCAGGGAAGGCAATAGAGGATAGGACAGGATAGGACAGGTAGGCGGGTGGCAGGGTAGGAGAGGCTGGTGCTGAACCATTTAATGCCATAGGAAGTGGGCATCCTAAACCACCTACTCAACACACTGTAGGTCCATACTGTGGGGAGCTCATGTGTTCCATTGCAGTAACCATATTTTCTCCACTATACTCAGGCAACTTCAATCAAAGTGCAAAGGACCTAACTCTCCACTGTAGAGGATTCATTTTATTTTTGCAATACACAAATATGCATAGATATGCATAGATAAGTAAATATATAGCATGTTTCAAGTGCTGTTTTGTCAGATATGGGAATATCACGCTTTTCTTACCAATGGTAAAAGAAATTAATATTGTTTGTATGAGTTCTTCAAGACTTTAGTTGGTTCTGCAAAGTATGGGAGATTTGGGGATTTTCATGGGAGTGTTTTGTTTTTATTTGGAAGGGAAGCAGCTATGGTACTGATTAAGGAACTGTTCTCATAAAAAATAGATCTTTCACTTTGCATGGCTGGTGTTTGAATATCAAGAAGAAGTTTCACTGATTTGTGTATGATTTACCACATACCTCATTGTAATTATAGCCTCTATTATCTTGGTTGGTTGGTGCAGGCTATACTAATACATTAATTTTCATCTATTGGCTTCAGGTGCCTTTTTGGGTAGTCCTGGTACAGAACATCAGCCACAGACCCAAAACTGGGCAGACATAAATATTGGTGACTTAATCCCTATTACACAATTCTATATGTTTGAGTTGCTAGACTGCTTGTCCAAGTGTGACCCAAGGCTCTTACTATTGCAGTCTGATTTGGTGTTTACTATGGCATGCAGCAAGTAAAAGTATGAACATTTTTTAAAAGTCTTGTATATTCAACAAAGTAAAGGTCTCTTTGTTGCATTAAATACTGTTGGAAGCGTGGCCAGTCTTAGATTGACCACCACAGTGCTATAAGGGGCCATATTGCTGGGACACCAAAGTCAGGTTTCCATATGGAGCATCTGCTCTTAGGTTCCCTTGTCCCTTTACTTGTCTTCTCAGCATTACAGCAGTGTCATTTGTTGTTTAGTTGTAAGATTTGATGAGACATTATCAGTGACATGGACAGATCTCTGATTTTTACACCACTAGTGCTACCAGTCACCATCATACCCGTACAATGGCTAGAGGAAAGAGAGTTTATGACCACATTCATACTTGGGAACGCTCAAGATTTGACCCTGAATATTGATTTCACACCGTCCTTGTAACCACTGCCACTGAGGCTTACATCAAGAAAAAAAGCGCCTAGACCTTGCTTCCTCCATATGCTTTTAACATTATTTCCATTATACACATGTCAAGCTTGAATGGTGATGAGGCAGCTTTCACAAAGCAAGAAGGATAAGTGGGAGGGAGTGAAGTGAGCAGGCAATCACACCAATTATCATAGGGTTTATCAGAAATATGTCTACGCCTTATGTCAGGCTTTCTTAATCAGAATGCCGGAGCACACTGTGGCACCTTCTGGCTTCCTTGGCATCATGCCTTTCTATGGTACAGGTGGGCTTTGGATGTGAAGGGGGCTCTTATATGAAAGGGGGCTCTGATGTAAAGGATAAACCCTAATGTGAAAGGGGAGACTCTGATGTGAAAACGAGCTTTTGATGTGGAGAAGATTCTTGGTGTAAAAGGGGTCTTGTGATGTCAAAGGGACGCTGAAGTTAAACAAGGAAGCTCTAATGTGAAGGGGGTTTTTAATGTAAAGGGAGCACCAAATTTAAATGGGGGTTATAAATGGGGGGGGGGCATCTGATGTCAAGAGGGGCTTGTAATGTAAAGGAGGTGTCTACTGGGAAATGGGGGCTCTGATGTGAAAGGGAGCGCTTTGATGTGAAGGGAAGACTCTAATGAGAAGGGGAACCCCATTTTTTCTTTAAAAGTTTCTAATTCCTCGTTTTCTAGTGGCTCCCCACAGCGCCCTTCCCCCTGCCCGGGTTCCACCATCGTTCTAATGGAGGCAACTGTGCGCGCTCGTGCCCGCTCGTTTCCGCAGTGGCTGTGTGCGTCCATTGACACACACAGCACTGTGGCAGGTCACGCCCCTTCCCTCTTTGATTGATGGCAGAAGGAGCCTATGGCTCCTCTGCCATCAGTATCCTCCCCCCGCAACCCGGAAGTTCGGGAAACGGAGGATCGCTTTGGGATCGGCGGCAGGGACGAGCGCAGCTGACAGGTAAGTGTGGAGGGGACTGGGGGGGACTGGGGTAGAAAAAAGGTGCTGGGCCGTTTTTACCCTAATGCAGAGAATGCATTAAGGCAAAAAACGCCCAGACCCTAATACTACTTTAAGACTGGAGTACCTCAAGATTTTGCATATTTTTAAAGGGTGCTATGCCTGAAAAATGGTTGAGAAATGCTGGTCTATGTTATTAAAATATATGTAAACCTAATCACTAAATTCTCATATGAGCTCAAACATATTAAGTAACTTCACAAGTAATTTTCAATACTTTTAAAACTGCGCCTTCCTTTGAAAGAATATCTTTGATCCTGCCATAAGTTCCTGTTATAGGATGACAATGCTCTGTCCCTGTCTTCCAACCGTGCTCCTGTGTTGTCACCCTCTCACATGGGCTTCCAATAGAGATGACAAGTGTCCATTTCAACACACATGCAGGCATGGTCCACTGTTGTAACCATCAAGAAACCCACCCTAAATAAATGCCATGCAGCCATTGTTGGAGTGTATTGATTTAGACAGGAAGTGGCTAAAAAGAGGCTGCAGTAGATAAAAAGCACTGAGATATAACAAAGAATAAGAATAGGAAAGCAAAAAAATTGTAATGGCAATTGTTTATGATACCGTGGGGGGAATTTATCAAAACTGAAGCAGATGAAATCTGAAGCAGCTGTGCATGGCAAGCAATCAGCTTCTCTCTTCAGTTTGTTCAATTAAGATTTGAATATTGCTATGATCCTCTGTATCTCTGAAATCCAACCATGTAGAGAATGGTTAGCGCATTGTAATAACTATTATCCATTTATTTTTGTTGAGCAGTTATACCTTTACATTTAGCTTGTTTCTATCAGAGATTTTACAAAGGAAAAGCTTTAATGCAGATTTCACAGTTTCCAGCTCCAATGCAGAACACATCCCAAGAGGAGAAAAAAGGGTTATGTGTCTCTCCTCTGTTAGACATGTCAGTGTTAACCCCTAAAATAAATCATTGCTGAACAAGAGGAAATCAAAGCACTTCCCATAATAATTAGGTGCATTTAATGATCACAAATGACACCCCCTATCACTAATCTTCGTTTCAGCAGGAAGGAATGAAAGAACTCGCATCCATCTTGTACAATATTGTTGCGTTTTCATTCTTCCAGTAACACAAATCTCAGCATGTCTATGGCAGCAAGCTCTGCGCATGAGTCGGGTGTGGTCGGAGTCCTGAGCCTGGCAGCCATCAGGATTACTGTACCGAGACGCCTCTGCCTTTGTCCTCTCCCCAGGCTTGCTCCTGTTATTTCACAATGCAGTCTCCTTCCCCAGAGAGCACAATCCGAGCACAATTAGGGTTAATCACTCCCTTCCAAACCAGCGGCTGCCTACTGTCAAATGTACTGGAAATTGCTCTCCTGCTGGGAATGTATGTGCTGCCCCTGCCATTTTTGTATGATGAATATATACGGTATAAATAATGATGTTATATGCATTAATTTGTAGATGATTCCAGGCATTTATTTGCACCTGTTGTAGTGTAGAAGTCATCTTATCTCCGGGCAAAGCTCATTGATTCCTCGCAGACTTCGGAGGCTCAGAGCTGTCCTTGGTGCTGAAATGCTTTAATGCTTTGTCTTCTATCAGCTGCAAGACCCATGAGTGCCTCTATACCCACTTTGGATTTGTATGAATCATTTTGTGGATTAGCACCCTGGCATTTACCTTACAAATAGAGTGAGGTGGCTTTTTTATTGAACCTATATATACATATATATTGGCTAATATAATAATATTTAATGGCTGTATATGTATATAAATTACAGTAATGAAATGCATATGTACTTTAATACAATCAATGTTGTAATAGTGATATCTACATTTTTACTGTAACTGCCCTTATTTCAGCAGCTATTATGGGAAATTCAACATCAGGTCCACTTGCCAGTAGCACCCAGCTTCCATCCCAATTTTTATGGAAAGCATCTCTATGGAATGTACTACTGAAATAAAAGGGGGGTGTTTTATTCTCCTAAAGATTCTCATATCTTGCTGCATTATTCCATTTTATCTCTCAGCCCTATTGGTAGATCAATATTTAATGCTTAGAGATTGAAGCTTCAAATGAGTCATATCAGGGGACTAGTGGAACCAATCTGCTTCAGCCTAAGACTGCTAATTATTCATGGGCTCCTGCCTCTTGCTCTTTCTTTTGCACAGCCCTACAGTGCTGACTCAGTGCCTTATTCAGTCTTGTCTCCCTCTCCACTGCTGTAGCTGGATCTCTTTGCCTTCACAACCTCTGAGCATCCGTATACATCGCCATGGCTAAAACAGCAATAGGTAAGGATTCAAGATTGTCTCTATGCTTCTATCATTTCTTCAGCTATCTGATTTTACAATGTAATACTATTTTGCAATACTGTTATACTAGTATATTTTAAAATGCAACCTCATTTTTAAATAGGTATTTTCAGTATTCTTTTAGCAGGTATTTTGTAGGCAGTTGAATGTTTGAAATTGTTATTGGGATTACATTTATACAGGCAAGCTTACTATATGTTAGCAATAATGCTATTGATAAGGAAGACTTTTTTTGTTTGTCGTGATACTAAAATGGCATTTTGTTGTTATTAATTAAGGTGTAACCTTATTCCGTATGTTAATTTTATTCTCAATTAAAGTAATTGTGTAATCTGTTTTGTCAGTGGCTGAATTGTGTCAAAATAAAATATTAGCTAAGACAATGATATACAAAGGATGCACAGTACCTGCACTTCTATATTGCCAGCACTATAGCACAATGCAGACAGACCCCACCCATCTGCCTGCTTTCTTGTTCACAGGCAGCTCAATGTAGAGCACTTTCTAGTCTGTAATGTGTGGTTGCTGCCCTCTTTCTATTGTATCAGACAAGATTCAGATACAATCAATTCATCATTCATACAATAAAAGCAACCTGTTTCAGTTAATCACATGTTGACACAATACCATTGTTATGCATGTAAACTGTAGTAACATGGCACACGTATGCCCTGTTTTATACTACATGTTGAATATAGTTAGTTCAACACACTGCATTTTGTATGCAAACCACTTTGTATCATTTGTTACTCTTTTCAATACTATTTATTTGCATTAAATATGTGAAATATGAATACATCTTGTGTGTCTGAAGTAGAAAGGAAGATGTTTTATAGAACAGTTCGTTTCATGAATTATGTTGCAGAATTCAGATGTGTACAGATTTGTTTTTTAAAACTGTAATATAAGACCAAATATGTATAGTTACCTTAATAGCTGTATAAGAATATTTTTTCCATATACATTTAAAGATGTTGGCATTGCAATTTAATGACTTCAGCTTTTAGGGGCAAACCACATACATGCTAATAAGACAGAAACTTGTTGTTGCTAATGAATTGTCAGAACCCCCACCTGCCAGTTAACAAGTGATTCTGACTCTCCGGCATCCTACAGAGGTGTCCTAGGGAGGGGTGTAGGCCACAATGACAGCTGTATGTGTAAATGGAGCCAAAGTGGAGCTATGGGAGTCTGTCCAGCCCTGCAGTGCTGAACATGCCACCCCTCCCTATTGCAGCAATGTAGTAATCAGTATTGATAATTTGTAGTCATTGGGAGAGCGATCGCTGCAGAATTCCACTATCTTATCAATCCTCTGCCTGTCATTATTTGATAGATGGATTTGCATTTCATCAATCATAAACTTGTCTTGAGCTTTCATGACGGTGTTCCAAATCATTACAGTAGCTCATTAGACTGAGTGATTCCTTTCTTTTAGTGTGTCTGGCAATTAGAGTGTGCATGATAGACTATATAAGTTTATGTATTGAAAAAAAAACATAGGAAGCTTATTTGAAAAAAGGCGAGCACGCAATTAAAATGTACATAAATTATGTTATGGGTGTTTTAGTTAGGCCCAACTGTAGGTTTTGGTACATAAATACCATATCAGCTGTAATGATCTTATATAATATAGAAAAGCCTAATTTAATATCGAAAGTCACAAGCCATATGTACATTGATATTATCTTACAAGGCATGGAACTATAAACAGTGTTTCATATTATATGTACACAAGGAATAATCCAATAACATGTAGTAATCCGTTTCAAGTCCTTTTAACAATTAGAAATAGAAAAAAATGGGTCTTCTTGTTCTTGGGAGTGTTTCTGTGTGATCCTCTCCATAGTGGTAGGGACATCAGAGTGAACTACTGCCACCTGGTGAGCAGGAGAGAAACAACAACTTACTTAGAAAATGTTAAAACCATTTGTGCACGTTTAGGTCCCTATTTTCCTAGTTTAGCCTATCATGCAATTTCCTTGTTTAGTTTTTTTATAGTCCCAGATTTACTATACTTTTTGCTTTGAAGCGTAACAGGAGGCCAAGGTTCTTCATGTGTTGTAGCAGCATGGAGCAAATTGCTGTAGCATACGATGTACATTATGCAAAGTCATTCTATAGCATTATGTCTGCTGGATCACATATACCAAGAGAGCTGAAATATTATATAGCAATATATATATTATACAAAACTGTATGCACATAAAAATGGTAGGGCAGATTAATACAATATTTATTTTATGTTTGGTAGTAACATAGTTCCATAAAAAGGGCAGGGCAGTATTGTATAGTATAATAAACTACATTTTGTTGCACATTTTATTTTTCCATAAAACTGGTAAGGGCAGCATTATATTTCATTCTGTATGCCATATTTCCATAAAAATAGGATAAGTGCAGAATGTTACCACTGCTTATAGTTAGCTGTAGAATATAAATGTTTTACATCATCATAATAGATTGTTACTGTAGCTTGTTTAGCTTGTTAGCTTTGGCTGACCTTCTATACTGTTATGTGTTGAAAGATGTATTTTGCCCACAGTGAAAGCGACCATTTTGTGGATGGGACTTAAAGTCATTATCGTGCACTCTACCACCTCACCAAGATTAAAAGCCTTCACCGATTCATCACATGACCTGTTTTACTAACCAGTTTTCCTTTGGAATCGTCACTTATATTGGGTTTACATACAGTGATGTTAAGGCATTTGTAATCACTTTTCAACAGATTTCAGCAGTTTTCAATCACAAAAATAGCCAAACAGAACACGACAGAGGCACTGTGTATCTGAGCTGTCAGACAATAAATGCTGTGTCTTTAATTGTTCAATCATAGCTGCAACAATATTGCCAGCAAGTTGCTGTGTGTGGCCAGCATTGGTCCATTTGTATTATACCAAATCTGTGAATGGACAGTCAGTATTCTGGGCCTGCCTGAGCATATGCAAATACTGACTTTTAGAAAGTCTGGCAGGAGGATTTTTTCTAAAATACATGCATGACTAGGCACCTATGGTGACTTCTGTTTATGAGCTGTTTAACTAGCTCATAATCATATTGATAATGGCAATACTGGTAGACATTATATAAGCCTGCCTGCATTGTCCTCATATACAATACCTTTAAGTGAAAGGTAAGATTTCAAAGTTAAAAAATGTACAGCAATTAAATCAAATATTTAATATCTGTTTTGTCAGTTGCTTGCAAAAGACATATTATGTGTGATAAGTTATGAATTGCAGCTAGTCAGTAAGTATTCCTCAGTGTACCCCCAGAGGTTCACTTCCCATTGTTTTGCAACACCATTGGGAGCGGTGACCTCACCAATGAGCCAACATCTCAGTAAGAGCCTCAGAGGTGAGCTCATCTATAACAGGGAAGGATCTTTTTTTTGTTTTTTTTATTACAGGAGGTGTGATGGTGCAACAGCTTTACAAATGTAACATTAAGACCTTTGTTCTGCAAGGATCATATTCCAGTTTATTGAATTGCCCTGTGTAAGGTGCAGTACATAATGCCAATCAGTCAGATCCATTTTTCTTGTTCCATCTTCCATCTGCATTGTTCAAATTCATTGAGCTTAGCTCCACCTTTTCAGCCAGCCGAATTTGGTTTATAGGAAAATATGAATGCAATGACTGCTCTGGGAATATGGATATCTTAATTCATGAAGCAGGATTATTGAGTATCTCAGGAACAGACATTGACAGCCCAGTGTTTTATTCTTTCTGTAATTAGCTGGCTATTCAACCTTTTAATCAGTTGCTATCACTCAAAATGACACAGTCCATTTATTATGAAAACCTGCCTAGTCAATCATTTTCATAGCCAGGGTTTTAAATATGTGGTGATGGTGGTTAGAATGGTAACCCAGCCTGCAAAGAGTCAGACACAAAACAATCCTTTCCTGATAAAATGAACTTACTCTAGAAAGAGAATAAAATGATTATAGTTTATTTATAGACAACAAATACCATCAATCTGAATCATAGAAAACAAATATTTGATTAGTTGTTTATTTATAATTCAGATTCAATGTTTAAAGAAGTACCAATGGACTCTAAATATTCTGGAGTGAATGTTAATGCCTCAAGCATTTCACCTTTATAGTTTTATCAATTCTGATGGTTTAAAAGAGATTTTAACCATAGTTAGCCCACCACTTAATTCTCGATTGCACTGGACCTTTATGAGGCTAACCAAGTACTCAGTCTTCTCTTAGTTTGAAATGGACAGAAACAATCCTGCACAATATTATAACAGTTTAACAAAGTTTATAGAACCATACTGTATACATTCATTATATATCCACATTTTTTGTGTTGGTATATCATCTACAAAGAAAGGCCTTTGTTGAATGTTTTTATTTTGGAAATCAGCTCACAGTTGGTGGGCTCATAGGGCTTGTGTAATAGAATATACACTATATATATATATATATATATATATTACAATATATATTCTTTTTTCACACATCTATGCCCATAATAAAGAACAGCGAGCTAGATCTATTGCTGTCGGCACTCTGGAGAAGAGCTGTCTGTCAGCAGTCTTGGGGAATTTTCCATTCTTTTTCATGTCTATTCTGAGGATGTCTATAGTGAGAAATATAGGTCATATATCTGAGTTCCTTTTTCAAATATAGTTTGCATGGGTAACTTAATATTTTCCTGTATGGTCCACAAAGATAAGAAATACAAGCATGTTGGTTGGCATGTTTTTATCCAGAAGTATGTTGGTTGGCGTGTTTTTGTATCCATGAACCAGGAAGAATGTAGTTCTCTGTTGTTACAAATGATAACTAGTGAAATGGATAGTGTGTGGAAATGGAGATGGATAGAGAATAGGAAAAGGTGGGATAAAAGCAGTTCCGGAACTATGGTGGATACAGAATGGTGTCTTCTGGGCCCTTGAGCTATATGAAGTGTGAACTGTTGAACCAAGGTGGGGAAAATTGCTGTGCATTGTTCTGACAC